AGTGGTAGGGATTTGCTAAGGTCATCTCTCAGGATTAGGGCAGCCAGAGTGGAGTCCAAGATTCTGGACAGCTTCCAAGATGAGGAGAAAGCCCAAATTGATGTGGAAGTCTTATCCTTGATGAGATAAGGAAGCAATTCAGCTATCAGGCTGACAAGTCACTGGTTCTTTGGGCCTCAGTACCCTCATTTTTAAATGAGGAATCAGGCAGAGGATGTCTAAGACAGCCAGCTGTCAACTCTGCACTTAAGGTCTGGAAGGCAGTGGAGTGAATTAGATACTGGCACAGAGAAAGAACTTTGGACAACACAGTCCCCAAACTCTCTCAGTTTGACCATCTTTACAAATGAAAGGACTGGATGGGATGGTCTCTAATGTCTTTCAACTCTAAATATTCTCTGACTCTAGGGAGGTCAGAAGATATGCTAACACTTTCCATGGCTTTCCATTTTGCTTCCTCACCTCACGATGAGTACAAGATGAAGCAGAGGGCTTCTTCTTCTGCCCCCTTCCTTTTCCTCCCTTTCCCCTAGTCCTCTCCCCTACTCTCACTTCCTCTGCTTTTTTCCCTGAAGTCCCACTGATTGACTTAAGGGAGTGCTTTACATACATCTCAGTTAAGCTTCACACCAATGTTGTGATGCAGCTACTTTAGTATTATTATTCACATTTTACTGGCATGGAAACTGAGGCTTAGGGGAGATAAGTGGCTTGCTCTTGACTATTATCCCCTTTTTCTTTCTCCAGAAATGGAAAACAAGCCTCGGAGACGTTAATTGATTTGTGCGTGGTTATTATCCACGTGTCGTAGACATGGAACCCGAGGCTCAACTCATTTGCCCAGGGTAATAGCCATTAAGCGTCAGGTGCAGGATTTGAACCCAGGTCTCCCTGATTCCAAGTCCATCACTATCCACCAGACCACTTTTGTTCATTTTTTTTCTTCTTTCTCCAAGCCCTTAACTATCTAACCAATCAACAACATGAATCCACCCAGGTTGCTAAGAGGTAGATTTATTCTCCAGCCACATCTTACTGTCAGCCCTTGGGACAGGATCCTAGAATTTGATGAACTAATTATAACTCAGAAAAAGTGGCTTCTATATTGCTTCTGTTTAGAAACTCTGCCACTTTTGATAGCTGCCCTCCAGAAATATGCCAAGCATGACTTTGGCATGAGAATGTTCCAACCCGGCAGACTGCAATATGACAGAGAAAAAAAATGTCACGCAATGATACTACCTCCAAGGGGCTCTTGTGGGACTTGCTCATTTACAAGCTTGGGCAGATAGAGCCCCTATTCCCAGCTGAATCTTCTGCTGTGTTTAGAAGTTCTCACTGCTGGGTTCATTCACTCAACATTCTCAAGAGTCTTTAATTTAACTGAGATAGTGTAGTTTCAGACACTGTAGCTAGACTTGTGGGTATGATGCTGAGCCAGGTTTCCCCTTGGGAGTTTATGAAAAGTAAAATCCAGACAGCTCAGTTTATAATCACCATCTGCTTATCCAGAGCTGCCTCATTAACACCTACATAAGTGCCTTTACACGCTTATTTTTTAAGCAGCAGAGTTCTAAGGGTAGAGGGTCAGTGATCCCCTTGTGACCCTATTCTCCCAAAGAGAAGGAGACAAAGCTACAAAGGTAGCTTTGTCCATTACCAAGAAAAAAAGGCCAGAAGTTGATAACCAACAGTATCAAAAAACTCACTTCCTTTCCCCCGCATCACTAGAAGGGAGTTTGATTATCCCTTCCCCACATGTACTCTCATAGACTGCCCTTTCATGGGATGAGATTAGAAGGGGCAAAAGGAAAAGAAACAAAGATAGGATTGATTCAAGAGACTCTTGGACTCCAAGTATTCATACCTAAAAGTATTTTTGTAGAAAATGAGAAATTTGGAAATTTAGAGATGGAGGAGGCCTTAGAGATGGTCTAGGCGACCCTTCATATTATCAATAAAGAAACAGACACCCAGAAGATGAACTAATTTCCCCAAGGTCATACAGCTACTAAGTAATGGAGAGAGTAATAGAACCCAGGCCTCCTGAGGTCTTTGTTCACTCTAAGATATTGTAGTGGTTAGTAAAACAGGACTAATATTTTCTGGATTCTGGATACAACTTTTTAAAACTTTTTCTTTTTTACTGTGTTGGCAGTTACGGAATACTGTTGATACTGTTGACTTGGATACTTATTTCTTTTGTTGTCAGATTTTTCCTCATCTTATACTTCTGGATTTGTATAGGACTTTGCATCTGTCCCTGTAATGGGAGTCTGGCATATGCACACAATGCCTCAGGTGGTGTTTCCACATGGAAGACATTAGAGAGCAAATGGCATTTCTCTACTTGGAAGACATTAGCGAGCTGCTTCTGGGATAATCGTGATGACTTGTAAGAGAAGTGCATTGATGAGATCACAGAACATGCATGAACAGCCTGTAACTGGTTCCAGTGGGCTGGCCATATGGTTGGGAGGATCCTCTTTTGGCTGACTGCGTAGCCAGAACAGTTGGCTTCTTGAACAAGGCCTGAATCAACTTTCGCCATGCTCTTTGCTTCGTTCACATCTGGGGGGTGTTTGCAGCATCCAGGGCTGTAGTGGGGGACAGCACGAGGACCATATGGCTTCCAGGAATTGGACCTGTGTTCTTGGCCTTTGGGTTGATTCTTTACTGTGCTAAGCACAGGGAATGGAGCCTCTGACCACCAGAAAGTGAGCCACAGGAATCTGGCCATTGGAAGCCAGGCCAGGTTCTATAGCTAGTCTAATATCAAAGCCCGAAGGAGCAAGGAATGATCTTAGGACTGGCTTTCAAGACCCCAGCCCCGTCGAAGGATTCCTGTGCCAGCAATGTCACCTCTGTACATGAACATGGTGGGACCAATACTATGTAGGAAATGAGCTACATGTTGAGCCTACTCTCCTACAGTCTGAGTTGGGATGGTAGAGAGCATGCCCTGGATGTTTTGGGGAAAATTTTTGTGCTTTGGTTTTGTTATATTTCAAAGTAATTATCTTTATAAAAGCAAATTGATGTTAAAAGGTTAAATGAAATTGGAGGACTAATCACTAACAGATGTGAGAGGGTTTCATCCAGTGGCAGCAGAAAAAAGAGAAATCCTCCAACCCCTCATGGGGCCCCAGAATGCTGGGAAGGGGGGATGTAGCAGTCATGACCCTGAGGGAGCAGGACCAGGGTATAACCCTACTAAGTTTCACCTGCCAAATTCAGTTCCTTCGTCTCTACAGAGAGCTTTAAAAAATTGTATCCTATTCCCCTCATATATCACCTTCCTTATCTCCTCAACTCTGTGTCATCTGCAGATGTGATAAATATACCTCTATTTAATGTACTCCATGCAATTGTCCAAATTCAAGGCAATTTGTAACATCCTTTTATCCCACTTTCAAGACCTGATTCTGAGAAACTACTAGATACAGGACTGGCTTAGGGGCAAGTGGAGAATATGGTGAGATTTGAGAGGTACCAGAAAGTCTCAGCTATTTCACTTGCTGATCTACAATAGTATTAGAGAGTCCACTGTTAGAGATTAATTTTTTTGGATCAAAGGATCTATTTTTAAATAGAAAATACCCTTGGGAGAGGCAGCACATTAAGCCGCTGTTGGCAATTAATTGAACTTTTATTTTAAATTAGTTTATTAGATTATTTGATAGCACCCAAAGCTTTGATAATAAGAGAGCACAGATGGGGAGAATGAGGAAAAGGGCCAGCTTGGTCCAGAGACCAGAGTACTGTGGTGGAAGGAGGGATTATATTGAGCAGACTCATAGGTTGATAGATTTAGCTCTCGAAGGAATCTTTAAAGCCACTGAGTCCAACCTTTTTATTTTACAGATGAAGAAATGAAGGTCAGAAAAGTTACGTGACCTATCCAAGATAATATAATATTTGAACCCAGGTTCTCTGACATCAAATTCATTTCTCTTTCCACTAGAAACAAAAATGAATAGTCTTGGTACTTGGGGATGGGAGATGTCTACCGCAGAGGAAGAATAGTCAATGAAAAGAAAGAAGGCCTGAACACATATTTTGACTACAAATTTCACCTACTCCATGATTTTGCTTAAAGCTCTGCCTTGCAAAATGCTCAACACCTGTGAAGTCCTACTGTGCAGTGAGCTCAACAGTGGAGATACAAAGAAAGGCAAAAACTGAAGTCCCTGCTCTCAAGTGGCTTACATTCTAATAGAACCTTAGATCACAGATTAGAGCTCCTTTCCATACAGCCTTAGACAATTAACATACCAAGCCAGGGCTTGCTATCTTCCTTGACCCTGCTGAAGCCCTTCCAGAGATCGAGCCTTCTCCACTCAGGAGGATGTAATCAATTCAGCATTTGGGCTACCCCCTGACAGAGTCGCTCTTGCTAATCATTGGAGGATGAGCAACTCAACCATTCCTAAGTCTTCTATAAATAATCAGAGGTCTACCTGGTGTTCAAGGAGGACCAGCACCTCTGTTGTGAGGGCTTGCCAAGTCATTTTCAGGGCTCAACTTCACCAGTGGCTCTAAGAAGCTGTAGCATATACAGTGGCCATACCCTGGTAAACCATCTCAGCAGACAGGCCAGAGCAGGTTGAGGGTAACCAACAGGCTTCGAACCCATTGGTGAGTTAGGGGGGTGTCTACCCCAAGCATGTGAAGACACCCTGGTGGAACAGGGGATGAAAACAATTTGTTCCAATGGCCATGAAGGCAGCTGAGGCAGGTGCTATGGAGTGCGTAGAGCTTAGTCAGGCATTGAAGACAACAAGGTAATCCACTGTATCCCAGGTCATTGCCAGTTGTCCTGACTTTTGTCCTGCCAATGCACTTTGATGACTCTCGAAAAGAGAGGGAGGCTGATGACTTTGTGCAGCTCTGCCTTACTTAAATCCAATTCATGCCCAAGTCAAGACATCACCTGTGATGTCATTGGTCCTCTTCAAAAACGAATGGAAAAGCTTTTTTTTTTGTTCCTGGCTTCCAAGATGACCAAGAAGAGGAGGAACAACAGGCGGGCCGAGAAGGGCCCCGGCGACGTGCAGCCCACCCGCTGCACCAACTGCACCAGCTGCATGCCCAAGGACAAGGTGAGCAAGAAGTTTGTCATCCACAACATCGTGGAAGCCACAGCCATCAGGGACTTCTCCAAGGCCAGTGTCTTTGACTTCTATGTGCTGCCCAAACTGTATGTGAAACTGCATTACTGTGTGAGCTGCGAGCTCCACAGCAAGGTAGTGAGGAATCGGTCCCTCGAGGCACTAAAGTATCAGACACCCCTACCCCGCTTCAGACCTGCTGGTGCTGCCCCCAGACGCCCTCCAAAGTCCATGTAAAGAGCTATGTGCCCATCAACGTTCCTGAACTGATCAGAGGAAAATAAAATGGTTGGTCTACCTTAAAAAAACAAAAAAAAACAAACAACAAACAGAAAACAAAAACCCAAATGAAAACAGTAACAACAGCAACATAACTAAGTAGTCTCAGCTTGGAATTCTTCCCTTCTAGCCTCTAGTCACTACCCTTACTCAGAAAACAAGCTGTCCCATTTTGAGATTCACTCTGTTCAGAAACATCTCCTCCTTAGAGTTTGGTGGCATTGAATTATCTGCCCCTCTCCTTCCCAGTACTGGAATGTACTCCCTTCTAAACCATGCTTTATAGCATCCTAACATCCTTAGAGAATTTGACAAGGAAAACCTTTCTAGATCCCCTTAGTTAATTTCCTTAGTACCAGATAAATTCCTTGAGGCTGTTATTTACTTTGTCTTTGTGCACAAAACACTTAGCATACTGCCTTAGACATAGTAGATATTTCTTAAATGATTAGATTGGATTAGGTCTTGAATTAGGATTAGAGTAGCCAATATATTTCTCATTTGGATTCTGAAAAAGCATATGATTCTCAACCAGCTATTAATTTTTTTCTCATTCGGAGGCAGCAAGATGGTGCAGTAGGTAAATAGCTAGGCCTGGATTCAGGAAAAACTGAGTTCAAATCTGCCCTTACATACTTACTAGCTGTGTGACCTTGGGCAAATCACTTAACTTCTATTTATCTCAGTTTCTTCAGTAGTCAAATGGGAATAATGATAGCATCTACTTCAGAGGATTGTTATGAGGATCAAATCAGATAATATTAGAACTTAGTATATTAATATTAGTATTAGTATAGTATAGTATAGTAATATATTAGTATTAGTATAGTACCTGGCACAGAGTAGGTGCTAAATAAATACTTTTTGCCATCCTAATTAGATCAGGTCACTATAAATGCCACATTGATTGGATTATTTCTAAGTGGACCACGAACTTTTAAGACTCATAGACCTATCCAAACTTGTGTTGGTTAGCAGGTTATTTGGGCCTTGGAGGGTTGGAGAAATGTCAAAACCATGGTCAGAGTTGAAATTTGGAGAAGCGATGAAATTTCTATGTGGGAATACATGTATATGAGAGAGAGGTTAGAGGATGATATTTCCCCTGGACAGCTCTTGTTTCAATGGATACGATTTAAATTTTTGAAATGGTCACATTGGACAAAGTATAATTCCATTCTCAAATGTATCAACATCATTTTAACTATACTCTCATGCAAATTGGGTTGAAATATGGCCTGAATAACCAACTGTTCCTGGAATAAAGGACATTTTTCCCAAGCCCATTTTAAACAAAATGAATACTGTTCTGTCCCATAAAGACAGATGATTGACATTATACAGCTCATGAAAATTCCCTTTTCAAAATCATGACATTTTATAATAGAACGAGATAGTAATTATATTATGTACTCCCCCTACAACAACAACAAAATGCTGCTGGGAAAAACGGAAACAATATGTTCTACAAAGAATGCAATTAAGCAAAGCTGGATTAGAAAGCCCACAAAGAATAAGCCACAGTGCCTGATTATCTTGAATTTAATTTTCAGCTTTGGATACTTTTCCTCTCCATTTTCTCGATTCCATAGAGATCAACCTGCAACAGCTTCATTTTTCAATTGATCTATTTAATATTTTCTGCATTATGCATAATAAAATAATACCAGGCCAAATCCACTATCAATCTTCCTGAAGCCTTTTCATTTCCAAAGGGAAAGACAATGAAACAATGTAACCAAATCTTTCCCCTTGAGGTTGGTGTGGACTAATTCTTTTTTGTAAGGGTGCTCAAAATTAAATCTTGTAATTACTGGAATTTTTCAAGGACCGATTTGGAACTGGAAGGTAGAACGGAATGCCTTACTGTGTTATTTCTGCCTTCTTGAAGACATGAATTTCAAATAAAACACAAAGGGATGTAAGATGAGGAATCTTGAAGGCAACTGTAATCACACAAAGGCGTGGAAATATGGGAGGGGGCTGATATTTACAGAGTTTTTAAAAATGAAAAAATTATTTATTTCCCTTATTTATTCCCCCTTATCAAAGTAAGGTAGAAATAATTTGTTTTTCTTTACTAAACTGGAATTTAGGAAGGAGAGAACAAAAACAGCTCAGGCTTTTGTGGTTTAAGATTATAAATAATATTTAAATCTTAGCATCTGGTACAAATTGTTCTTATTTCCATATTGATCAGTATTTACTATGAACATTATGGGCAGTGGGACCCTAGAGCAGTTTCCAGCTAGTATGGGGAAAGAAGACTTCACTTGCAATTTGTCTACAGCAATGTCTTCTCCCTCCACCTTCAGTTTTAAGAGTTGTTTGTCTTTACATTGTGGTGGTTACTGCCATACATCGTTCTATTGTCTCTCCTCACTTCACTTTGGATCAGTTACCGCATGTCTTCTCAGGTTTCTCTGAAACTGTCCCTTTCATCATTTCTTAGAACTCAAGATAGCAATTTTCTTTTCTGATTTCACTTTCCTTGTCTTGCAGTTGGCACTATTGATCACTCTGTCCTCAATACTCTCTTTTCTCTAGGTTTTTGGAACAACACTCTCTCCTGGTTCTCCTCCTAGCTATCTGACTGCTCCTTCTCTGACTCCTTTGCTGGATTCTCCTTCACATCACACCCTATGATGTGATTTGTGTCCCACAGGGATCTGTCCTGGGCTCTCTTTTCTCCTTTCTCTATACTATCTTACTTGGTGAACAGCTCCCAGGGATTTAATTACCATCTCTGTGCCGATGATTTTCAAATCTACCTTTCCTGCCCCAATCTCTCTGTTGACTTCTCATCTTGTATCTCCAACTGCCTTTCAGACATCTCTACCTAGATGTCCAGCAGACATCTTAAATGCAATATGTCCAAAACAGAACTCATTACAGTATACCCTGAACCCTACCTTCCTATTACTTTCCCTATTATTTTAGAAAGTAAAACCATCCTCCCAGTCTCTTGGGCTCACAATCTAGGATTCCACATCCTGGATACCTCACTATCTCTCACAACCCATATCCAATCTGTTGCCAAGACCTGTACATATCATCTTTGCAACATCTTTCTAATACACCTCTTTCTCTCCTCTGACACTGCCACCACTCTGGAGCAGGCCTTCGTCATCTCATGCCTGGACTATTGCAATAGCCTCCTGGAGGGTCTGCCTACCTCAAGTCTCTCCCCATTCCAGGCTATCTTCCATTCAGCCATTAAAGTGATTTTCCTAAAATGCAGGTCCAATTATGGCTCCCTGCTACTCAATAAACTCTAGTGGCTTTTCATTGCCTCCAGGATTAAATCCAAAATGCTCTGTTTGGCATTCAAAGCTCTTTATCCTCTAGCCTCCTACTATCTATCTTGTCTTCTTACACCTACTCCCTGACATGTATTCCTCAGTCCAGTGACACTGGCCTCCTGGCTGTTCTATGAATAAGAAACTCCATCTCTTGCCTCCAAGCATTTTCTCTGGCTGTCCCCCATGCTTGGAACACTCTCTCTCCTCCACTGAAACTACTGACCTCTCTGACTTCCTTTAGTCCCAACTAAAATTCTGCCTTCTGCAGAAGGTCTTCCTTAATTCCAATGCCATCCCCTGTTAATTATTTCCTATTTATCCTGGATATAGCTTGCTTTGTGTATATTTGTTTGTTGTTTTTCTCCATTAGATTGTAAACTCCTTGAAGGCAGGGACTGTCTTTTATCCCTAGCACACAGCACAGTGCCTGACACATAGTAGGCACTTAAGAAATATTTACTGAATTGAAGGGAACTCTGAGGTAATGCATTATAACCATGTTTGTTTTAAAGATAATCAATCAGTAAACATGTATTAAGTATCTAACATGTCAGGCACTGTACTAAATGCTAGGGATACAAACAAGAAAAAGAAAGACATTCTCTGCTCTCAACAAGCTTACAGTCAAATGGGGGGAGAAAACTTAGAAGAGGAAGTTGGAAGGGGGCAGGGATACCAGGAGATACTTAGGCATAAGGGCATCTTGTTTATTCTGTGGAGTTAACCAATTAATCAATTAACCAATGGACAGAGAATGGAGTAAGCTGGAAGTCCAATCCTCTATAAAGGAACATTTTGGGGAGGAGTTAAGTGCTCCACTTTCCAGGCCTCCAATCAGAGGAGGAGGCTAAGGGAGATGGGAAGGAGTTTCTAAGGCTGAGTTAGTAGCATGGTCAATCTCTGGGAGGGGAAAACCCTTCTTGCCAAAACAGAAAGAATTACTATTTACATTCACTCTGAGCCAATCAGAACCCAAACAATGACTAAGTGGGACTTGGCCTGGGACCATCTTGTTGGCCAATCAGTGAGAGGCAGAATGATTTGGGTTTAAGACATGGTCTTTAAGAAAAAATAATCTAGCCATAAATACCAAGATATCTTGTGAAATTTCATGATCAAATTTTGCATTCCTTTGGGCAGAGCACTCACAGGTGAAGGTATGATACCCTATCTCTCTCTCTCTCTCTCTCTCTCTCTCTCTCTCTCTCTCTCTCTCTCTCTCTGTCTCTCTCTCTCTCTCTCCCCCTTCCCTTCTCTTCCCACTGTCCACACAAGGTATCATACCCTTACCTGCAGGTACTTTGCCCTAAGGAATGCAAATTTTGATCACTGAAACCTCACAAGATATCTTGGGTTTTATGGCTAGATTTTTTTTTTCTTAAGGACCTTGTCCTAAACCCAAATCATTCTGGATCTCACTGATTGGCCAACAAGAGGTCCCAGGCCAACCCCCACTTGGTCATTATTTGTGCCCTGATTGGCTCAGAGTGAATGTAAATAGCAATTCTTTTCTTTCTTTCTTTCTTTTTTTTTTTGGTCAGAAACCCTGAGGGTCTTCCCCTCCAAGACTGAATTTTTTTAACTAGGTTAAAGAGGCCATTCTCTGCCTCATTTCTTACCTAACTTTGATTATTGAATGGGTATTGCCTCAGTCTA